AAATTCTGTCCTATAAAAAGTATGTTTGCGTAATCTTGTAAGAAATAGTTTTTTTGAGCACGATGAATAAATTTTATAATTGATTTTTTGGAGTAAACTTGATAACATAATAACCTGATAACACCATTTTGTATAATCCTTTGAGTTCACTAACTATGTAAGCATTAATATTTAATATATTGCTTAATATTCTTTTATTACTATAACAACTAATTAATATGTGATATTATATTATGAGTGAATTAGTAAGAATTTTTTAAATTCATTACATAGTCAACCGTTAGAATATCTCAAATTTGTTTCTTTTGATAATTTGACATTTAGGTATACCAATAAAACAATGAGATTCGCAGTCTCCTTAATCGGGAGATATATTTTTAGAACTGAACATAAGAGTACTTTAGATTTACAAACAACTTTAATAACACTCGCGCGTAAATAATGACACCTGTCAGTATTGACGTTGCGTACGTCAATACTAACAGTAAATACTGACGTATGCAACGTCAAAAAATAACACGTTGCGCGTGACGTTATTGCGTGTTGGCGCGTCTCGTTTAGCAGCGCGGCGCGCGGAGAACTGCGCGCGCATCAACGATCTCGGATTAATATGGACATGTATTTATAGATTGGATCTGAACCCAGGATATAGTTAAATTTCAATTAATGAAAAGTAAACGTTGATTTATTTTCGTTACATGTTTAGGACAGAAAACTCTCAGGATCTCAGATTTTGATAACTCAACAAATAAATAAACTTCCAACCATATTAATCAGTACAGATTCGGCATTTAATCTTAAATAGCTGCAAAATGATTGTAACATGAACTCTCTAACACTGTTTCTTATTATTACTACTTTGGAACCAGAAGGCGTGTCTTTTTCACGGAGTGCAGGGTCTTAGTACAATGGTGACAGGAGTGACACATCTGTATCAAAATACATTAACTTCTTTGTGGTTCAATTACATTGTACGTACGTATTCGAATGATCAAAACCATACTTTAAGGACTTGACAGGCTTTCATTTCATAACTCAATCAGTCTCCGACGTGAACTTAGCTCCAGAAATGCTGAGGGATGGTTGGTTATTAGTACCTCATGTCATTAGTAATCTTCGCATTCCTTTGTGGTATTGTCTATTGTACTTATTTCAAAGCACTCTGCTATTAGAACATGTCTTACTTATAAGTCATTCGGACTGTCTGACAATAGTTTCAAGATATGAAAATAAATGTTTATCAGTTTGAATTTTCATTCGAAAAAAGTTCATTTAAGTTTCGCATACCAAGATATTTTTATGTACAGATATTAACGTGGCATGTGACGTGATGTAACATGTAATGAGCTACCGTTTCGGCCAGATAACACTGGTAGTGGTCACATACCTACTGACTCACGGGTATGAATGAAACAACTATTACATGATTATGTTAATTTCCGTACATATACATATTTATATTTAAAAAAAAACGGCTTTAAATACAATACACGAAAAGTTCAAAACGGCGCGTGGCTTTGCCTTATTGCCAATGTTCTATGTATGTCTATGGATGTCTCAACGGAATCACAATAATATTTATCTATGAGTTTGGGTACAGCGTCGACAACGCGTGCTTAGTGTAAAACTTTATCGCTAATCAATCAAATTTCACTGAAAGCCATTAATTAATCATTAGAGTGATTAGTATTTTCAGCAGGTCTATCCTATCACTTATTCGCACTCCTGAATATGCGGCAATTTGAAGTATGGGAATTGAGTTTTTGGTTCAGTTTATTAAATAATTAATTTATCTTTTTAATTGTTTTGTTTCTACATCTTGTGTTGTTACGTTCTAGAGGTCTAAATTCATGTGTTCAGTTTTTTAGTGAGAAATAAAAACATACTATTATTATTTGAATCATTGGCAAAGTAATAATAATACCAATTCACACAACGCCATCTAGTTCTAAACTAAGCAAAGCTTGTACACTATGGGTACTAGACAACTGATATAAATACATTAATACTTTTTTGTAAATACATACATGTTATACATAGAAACACTCAGACCAAATCAAACATTAAATGTTCATGCACATAAATGTTTGACTTGAGAGACAATCGAATCCGCGAAAGCAGTACGCCATCCGGTCATCTAAAAGTATAATTATAGTTTAATACTTGTGTGTTTTATTTTAAATAGAAACTGTTACTATTGATATTACGTTGACAAACAAATATGATATAACAGTTCGTATGTATTTTACTGATACTTCTAGTCAAGTTAATCACGGAAGTTTAACGTCTTAAAATATTTGTGTCGTCGAATGTCTAGACAAGTTATATTTGTACGGCGGGTTCACTCGCGTCTCCAGGCAAACGTCACACGTCTATTTACGATTCTTATTCACGTCAAGAGATGTTTTGGAAACAAAGTCCACAAGAGAAACTGTGTCATAGACAAAATGTGAGTTTTTTTTTAATTTTTCAAACTACGTTATTTATTTTTAAAGAATAGTTTTTTAAGTATTATGTTTTTCAATTATATAAGTGATTAATTTGTTCTATTACTAGTCTTTTAATATTAAATTTTCTTTCAAGCTGAGAGACAGATTCAAAGATAGCATCTACTTCCGGCTAAGTGCTTGCCTTACGTAATATATAATAAATTTTATATTCGAGATTCTCATTTTAATATGACCGATGAATAAACTTTGACATAAAAAGTTTTGGACACTATATTATGTAAAAAATCAACATTTCATTAAATACAATAAAAGAATATCTTTCAGCACTATCCATTTATCTTATCTATCTATATTTTATTTCATTTAGAAACTATTTAAAAAAATGTAAACGCCAACATCTCTTAAATTTTACGTAAGTAATTCTTACTCATAAAATTTAAAGAATAAATTATGTTTTATAAATAAATGGCCTCATTACTCACTACCATAGTTAAACCGTGTTGGTATTTTTGGCCATGCCAACAGTAATCTATTCATTGCTTGTTTTGTACTCAGTAAAAATATCTGCACTAGCCATAGTGTTCAATGCATAATTTTTTAGTAGTGTGATAAAAATTAAAGTTAAATTGTTAAATTAATTCTGACAGCAAGTTTGTTCTGTAAGTGAATTCATCATCATCATCATCATCAACAGCCATTAATAGTCCACTGCTGGACATAAGTCTCTCCTTAGAAAGGGGGTTTTGACCACGCTGGCCAGACGGGTTGGTATTGGGTTAAGTATTCCTTCTCTTTGCAGTGATGTTGTCCTGCGTAGTATGCTCCTAGATTACGACACCCACGGGATGAATAGGGAAGGTGACACTCTGTATTCTTAATCCGTCACCACACGGACTAAGTAAAAGAACGGTAAGTAAAATTACCTAACAGAATATGTATAAGAATTAAATACTCCGTGTAAGATATTACACTACATAGGTTACAAGTATAAAGTCAATTATAAAAATAAGCAGATTGATAGGTAGGTAGATTAAATTTAGTGGAACAGTGGTAGCGTATACGACTGCTTTGCTGATCTCTCGGGTTCGAATCCCTGGTCTGGGTGTTTTCTATGTATTATATGTATGTATTAACAAAAAAAAAGTATAAATGTTCGAAAGTATACAAGCTCTGTTTAGTTTGAAATTAGATGGCGTTGTATGTCCGAAAATTTGCAAAAAAATAATAATTCAAAAAACATCTTCTAAAAGACACCCGTTTGGTTTTACAGTGTAAGTTTAAAAAAAAAAAAGGAAATTCATAGATATGCACTTACCTCCACCGCCATCAGAATTATATAACGCTCTAGTTTTATATCTGATCAACGCCACCATTATTTAAACCAAAATTTAGAATATTCCCAGTCAACTGCACTCCGGTGCACTCAGTTCTAAAGCGAACACTAAACTGAATAGAAATTGTAAACACACTAAAACAGGATAATATAGGTAGGATACCACAGACCGATAAGAAACAAAAGGGATGAAACTCGTTAATGAGGTTAAAGTCTTTAGAGATTATAGAACAAATAAAGTATTTATGTAATAAATTTTCTTAGTAAAAAATTTAGAGTACTTAAAACACAAATTAGTTAAGTACTTAAAACATTAATGATTCGAACAAATAAAGGGTAATAAATAAGACAATCAGATGCCAAAATGTTTAATAACTTCAGTTACCATTTAAAATGTAAGCAATACCCAGTACGTTCGAATTTAATAATTATTATGTTCCTACCGAAAATGCTTAACAGTTAATAGTAATAAAGTTAATAATAAAAAAATCATTGAAAATCTAGGGAGAGATAGAGAGTCAAATTTTCGTTTTCGAGAAGGCCTTTGACCATCTCAAGCGCAAACGTTCTTTATCAAACAACCTTATTAACACAGTGATTTCGCAAATGAGTTTTCTGCTTTCATTAGAGTATTCAATAGAAGCATTAAAGATTATAATTTATGTTGAGTATTACTAATATATTGACGTACATTAATTTAGGAGTCCCGCAAGGCTCTATCTTGTTACCGCTGCTATTTTTAGTCTATGTATGTTTTTTGAGGATATTATACACTTTTACTATTTTGTGGTAATAGAACGTGAGTTTTTTGCCCTTTCTTCTCATAAGGCCCAGCCCCTTGGATTGGGTTATAGATTGGCAAATAAGAGATTTTCGATATGTATATCTTTATGTTGCTAAATATTTGACAAAACAGAGATTGTAGCTTTTGTGCGTGGTAATCCATGAGTTTGAGTTTATCTATCATTATATTGTTTTCTCTTTATATTTATATAATATACATACATTTTTCATTCATTTTATATTACCGAGAAATGTGTCACAAAAATAATGTAATTAGGTAATTAAGTCCTTAACATAAATACTAGTAAAGTTATTTCGATTCTACAACATACAATCGAAATCGAATTGTTTATTATAAATTGAAAAGAATTTAAAGGGTCAGATAAAAATAAAAGTAATGACTTAAATAAGATAGAGAAGAATAAATCACTCACTGATAATCCATAACAGTTGACACATCTGCATATTTAGAATACATGGAAACTAGTTTCTTCAATAATTCACCACAACCGTTACTGACAAGAACCTCATCAAAAGTATTTTGTTTCACTGCGCAGAACACCAGATAAAGATAAAAGATAAACTTGAGGGGTATATTAATAGAATTATCTATATAAAAGAGTTGCCTAGTAAGCACCTGATATGTACAATAGTTATTGTCATACATCCATGTATTTATTGATGTCATTACGCATTTACAGAAGCACAATACATTTTGAGATTATCCATCTGTTGTTATTCAAAGATATAAATCTGTCACATGGCCTATTTTTTTTGCATTGTAAAATAACATGTTCGATTTAATTATGAAATTACAAAAAATAAGTATAGAGTAAGGTAAAGAGTAATCTGTGTAGTGTCGGATTAAGAATACGGAATGTCACTACTCCAATTCATCCCACACTGCAAAAAGAAGTAAAACTTGACACAAATCCTATACCAATCCGTCTGGCTAGCGTGGTATAGCAGGCCAAGACCGCCTTTCTAAGGAGAGGCCTATGTCCAGCAGTGGACTATTAAAGGCTGGTGATGTGATTGATGATGAAGGTAAAGAGTTATGTGAGATGGTAGTAGGTATGATTACCAATCGCGATTAGAAAGCTGCTGCTACTGCAGCTGCCCCCGGCCCCGGTCACGTGCCCTTAATCCTGGGGTGTAAAAATGTCACTCATTCGGCTCTAAATGTAGCGGCCGGTTGAAAAGAGATTGTGCTTACAGTAATTGTTTACCATTAGCAAAAACAATATGCTATTAATTATTGGCGCTTTCGAAGATAAAGCATATACATTAATATATACAGATATACATTTTACAGTTTTGCCAGCCGTACCTGGAGTTTTGCCAACATTTTTTGTCGAGCTAGGGACCTAGGACCAAAAATTTGACGGAATGAATAGAATTTACTTAAATATACTTCATACTACGTAAACATAAACAGCCTGAGGTAGGCGCGTCTCCTGCTTTCATCTCCATTCCTTCCACACCAATGAAATAAAACACTAAAAAGACGTTATGTATCTTGAATTGATTACGCATCTAAATGCACAGATGGCGTAATGGTTAAATCGGTTGCCACGCAGCTTCCTACTGCACTGATTGTTGTGGGTTTGATCCCCATATTAGACAAAACACTTTCTGTAATTCACAAACTGTCGTTCTGAGCCCGGGTGTTCTTTGTGCTCGTTTCATGAATGTTTGTGAAGTCTCTTGGGAAGTTGTCTCTTCCATTTTACAAATAACAAATTTCACGATCGACAACTGCCTCATTGGTTAAATACTTTAAACAGGAAACAAAACAACAGTTAATAGAGAAATGTCATAAGACACATGCCATAAAGATTTATTACCATTCAGAATAATGAGGAAACGCATGCCAATAGTGAGTTGAATAATAAACACATACGGAGAACTGTATGTCTGTCATAAGCAAACATACGGAAGACAAGACAGACTTGTTTAGTACTGTTAGTGAATTGTCAGTTTAATATGACAGCTTGTATGTGTGTACGTTAAAAGTTAAGTGTTGTAGGTTTATCTAGACAGGTGATCGTGTTCCTCAGCTTTTCTTCTTATTATGTTTTAGAATTAGAAAAAGAAATTACAGAAACTAGAAAAAAATTGTTTCTGTTTTGACTAATTATCCTGCTGCATCGCTTGCCTGCGTGGATTCGTTCAATTTGTCAATCATATTTTCAGCGATACTCTTAAAAAAAGGTATATATGCTATTCAAGACTATAATCTACCTCTATACAAAATGCAGCGCCGGATCTAAGATTTTTTCGAACCGGGCAGACACTTTGCAGCGATTGAGATAAATAACTTCAAAAAAGTCACAAATATATCATTCTTGGCATTTTTTGTGATTAGGACATAACAATAATTTTTATTTTTTATTTCAAACCCTAATATAATATTATGATTTTGGTGTCCCCTGAATCGGCGCGCGGGGCGGGTGCTACGGTTTGCAACCCTGGATCCGAGGCTGACAAAATGGCATCCAGATCTGATCAGTCGTTCTGGCGCGATTGGGTAACAGATTCACACTTGCGCATTTATTATATTAATGTGATGAATCGTAATAACTTAATTCTTTAATAATGTATGTATCTCATTATAAGTGAACTCACTGTAAGTTCTTATGAGAATAAATTCTTTAAACCCATAATAATTTAGTAATAACACGGTTACGGTGAAGTGTAATAATAAAAATAACATGTTAGTTATGGTTTATTTTCTTATTTATATTCAATTTGATGCTGTTGCTGTTGATAAGTATCTCAAATTAAAAATAGAGTTTATCTAAAATAAAACACGATCGATCAAAAATAACAGATTACACTGTTTTAAAAGTACGGCAAAAAAGGCACATTAAAAGGATTTACCGTTACAAACGCGTCCAAATAAATTCGCCCACACGCCTATCGGGGATAGTATGTTAAGTGCATCAAACTACCTGACGAGAATCGGATACGATCCTCGCACTCGATTTCGCTTACCGATTCTGATGATAACTTTTATTGTCATGGCGGAATTAGGAAATCAATAAACCAATGAGACCATAACAACTATTTAAATTAATCTCGAAGTATCCTAGGTATCCTTTCCAGAAGAAGATAGCCGGAATAGACGATAAGGCGAAATTACAATGACTATTAAGAATATGGAGTGTCACCACCCCTAGTCATTCCATAGGTGTTGAAGAGCTTACTAGGGAAGCAAACTAAGCAGGAAAACATCACTGAAAAGAGAAGGAAAACCTTAATCAAACCCTATACCAACCCGTCTTACCAGCAAGTCTTTGTCCAGCTGTGGACTGTTAAAGGCTGAACTCATATAAGGAGTATGTCAAGTAGTGTACTGAAATAAGTTATTTGCTTGATGGATCTCAAAGTCCATCAGCTTAACAGCATAGCGCAGTGCACCAAACATACTTTATAATCAACTAGTTCTTATTCACAGCACAAACTAGGTTTTTTTTTTCATCAGAAACCCATCCCGAAATGTATTTTTGTCCAGCGAAAGTTCAATTCCTTGACACATAACAAGTGACACTGGAACAGATTTAAAGTACACACTACGAAGTAAAACTTCTTGGCTATGAGAGAAAGAAAATGTGTGCTCGCACCTCTCTCTCTCTTACCCCTACAATAATGTACGAAACGTAACTCTCTCTCTTTCTATCTTCACTTACTTATATGTCCCTCTTAACACTACTCCCCTGGTCACACTTTTCGTAACACTCTCGTCACGCATTTATCAGCTTACTCCCCAAGTCAAGAAGAAGTTTTACTTCAAAAATCTGTTACTACTTTGTTCGATTTTATCACTTATTTTTGTTGTTATTTTGAAGATGCTTTACTATGTAGGTACAACAAGTATATATCGCAAAACAATTTAAATTCAAACTTAATAACATAAGAATTATTCTTTTAAGATATATTTTTAAACAAATATTTTTCTTATGTCAAGTCGACGGTATCGACCCCAAGAGGTAGTCAATAAAATATGATAATAAATTTATACGAACTTAGTTGCGTGCCGCTGCGTATGCGCAGTCGGTCATACTAATGTGACTGTTGCTATCCAAAGGATGTGATATGATTACCTAAATATATCCATAATAGGTACGAGTATAAAGGTGTCAATGGTAGACAATTGTATTAAGAATAATGATTTTGCGGCTGTTTTTTTTTTATATTATATTTTATCAAATATTTTTTGTTTTTAATCAAAGTTTTTACTTAAATTATTACTTTACATATTTTTGGCTTGAACAATAGATTTTGTATTCAATTATGGAAGGTGCCGTAAGAAAAATATTCAAATTAAATGATCCAGCAACTGGGACTCCGGTCCTAGTTAATTGCGGTCTGAATCGCCGGAACGCCGGAATATGCACACAGGGTATACTGTACCTATTTTATGTCCTTTTCTATACTCTTGACTCCACGTATGCAAACTTTCTTTCACCCCTCTTTCCTAATTGGGGGTTGGGTCCAGTGACCTCACTCACTATGTGAAAAGCAACGAAAGAATCGCTTAACGGTCGGAACACGGACCGTATTTAAGCGGCGCTGCGTGTCAAAAATTCTCCCGGAGTCAACTGTGCTGAGAGGCGCAGCGCTTTAATGCGACAAACACTTTACAAAATGACAAAAACAGTCCTTCCTTTCCTTTCCTTCCTTTTACAGTCCTTTCCAGTCCTTAACAGCTGTTTTCTATGAGGCCGTGATATCACTCCGGTCGAGCCAGCCCGTATGTAAAGAAGCAAGGCTCTCAATAAGGATGTAATAAAATCACAATCACCTGTTCTAAATAATATAATCACACCTGTGACTAATTTACAAAAACACTGCGACTTATTCGTCTAAATCTAAAAAAAGGTCGTAGTATTTGATAAAAAGTTTTTTTATTTGCTTAATATTATAATGGCATTTATTTAAAAATAGCAATAATTTCCATCACCTCTCACCTATGTTGCTAGTTCTTAATTAAAAAGAAAACATATCTCTTTGACTCTAGTACTATGTAATCGCCGCCTTTTCTATTCTAAATACCCATTTAACACAAAATAACCTGCTTGATAAGTATAATAATAAGATAACACTAATTAATGCACAATCGCAATTGTTGTCGTACAATCAATTTCACAATGCCATCATGTTGAGTGCTATCAGTGCCATTGATAATACAAATTGCGTTAAATAAGGAGGTCGTTCCCGCTGTGATAACATCTATTTAATATTATATGTAGATATTACTTTCAAGTATTTCATTATGCTTATTCACAAACCAGACCGCACAATTTCATTAGTTTCAGGTCCATCTAAACAAATTGCTACTTAACTTTTTTTCTTCACTTTTTTTAAAAGCCACCAACGTTATAAAATACTAAAAACACCACAATACATAAGTTACAAAAATGAAATTCGAAATCAGAATATTTCTTTAAACATTG